GAAGCCGTCGTTGAACAAACTTGAACTGCAAAACTTAAATAAAATATGTAGCCAAAATTGACTAGAAACTAAACATTGATCTTCTACGAGTTCATCCAAAAAACTGAACTCAATTAAGAGAATCACAATAACTCAATAAATCCAGACAACGAATAACATTGTCTCGTCTTCTGACCAAAAACTCCAGTTAATCTTCTAGACTTCATGTTGAGCGTACAAACTACTAGTTTACAGCCCTCTCCCTCTCACGGTGCCGCCAAAATGAGACTAATATGGTACAAATTTTTTCATGTCAATTTTTGCCTCTCTTAGAATCTTAGTTTCAAAAATTTACCCAAAAATGGAAGAGCCAAGGTTAAACGCATTGAAATGCAATATACATGCTTCTTGGATTAACAAAACAAGCTTAAGTTATGGTGTTTGGTTCCTTAAGACTACCATGGTCAAGCTATTTACCATAGTCGTGATGTCATTATACCTTCATATTGTCGGTTATTAGCAGAGCTATGATGTATACTATATAGTTTGGACATTGGAAGCTTTAAGAGACTTTGCATATTCAAAGAATCAAAATTGCTACTGATTTTGTTACAATAATGGAGGCGATTTCTAATTTTGTGAATGGTCAAGATACAAGAACAGAAGAACAAGCTTGATAAGATACATTATCTTATGTTTGGGTTTATTCGGTGTCAAGTGTACATTATCTTATGTCTGGGTTTGTTTGCTGCCAAGTGTATGTAGTTGCTAGTTCGACCAATAAGATTGTTTGATCTATTGCAAAGAGTGTTACCAGAGACGAACGGTTTCGTTCATATATTATACTTGGAGAGAACAACATGGCTTCATAATCAAGTGATAAACGAAGGTTTTTGTTTTTTTTTTGCTTATTATAACTTTTTACACCATTTTGTGAAATTAGAAAGAAAAACAAATTACCGAAGACTTCTCGAAGTTGAAACTAGACGTCGGAATTTGGTCTGCATTTTCACCTTTGTCGTTTTCAAATAGAATTATGACCTATAAAATTTTAACTATTTTGACGGATCATAAATCTTCGTTACATTAAAGTTTTGAATGGTTGTACCGTCTATTCTGGATAAGACCAAAGTCATACCACTCCACATTTTTATCACTCTTGTCTGATCTACTTGGAACCAACTTCTTGAACCACTTCTTCGATTATCTTCTTCGAGTTTCTCTCGAACCACTTCCCCACTAGTTCCCAAGGTCCTTCCAAATATATGCGTACTAATCCCACGTTTGCCACTACAGTTTGAATTATTCATACGCATGTCACGTTGTCCACCTCTTCCAACAGAATTTCGAGCTGCATCACGGGTGAATTCATTGGAAGGGTGTGTATCATCATCAAGGTTAATGCAATATACTTCTTCATTTTGATGTGTATCATCATTCCTATTTTGAGGCATGTCATCACCATCAACATCTGAGAAACCTGAATACCATTATCTGTCCGTCTCTCATTCAATATCTTTCCTCTTCTTTATCGTGATGATTGTTGAGGTTCGAATAAACATCGTGTAATACAAGACAACATTACAAGATAATGTTGCATCACATTTCAATGAAAGAATGGCCTTGTGCCTTATGATTATATATATACAAAACAATTGCTGAATTTATTTATTTATTTTATTAGACAAACTATTCATAAGTCATCCATCACTAACCACACTTTATAGTCACTATATGCGTTCCAACTTGTCACTGTCTTTTTTTGTCCCGCACTTTCA